ATACAACAAACCGTACAAAGCCAGCTGCTACACAATATCACACCAGACCAGCCAAAACCCTTCGACAAGTGCTACCATCCAATTACACTGCAAAACCACAAACAACTTAAGGATTTCACAAAATCAACAAAATAACTTGGACAAACTGACATGTGCTAAAATGTACCAGTGGTAAGTCTGCAGAATAAAACAAACCCTGCTACCACTGTCCATATGACCACGCCAGACCAACATCACAGGGCCCTGGCTGTTATCTCTGCATACTGCCACACCTAAAACCACTCGCCACACCAGACAAAACCTTGCAAAATTGTACCATGCCTGCTACACCAATTCACCACAGCAGACAAAATCTGCTAGCCTGTACAAACCTGCAACAACAACAGCCAGGAGACATCAAAAATGCAAGAAAATTAAAGGAAAAGAGAAAGAGATTTGGAACTTACTTCATTTTACTCACTGAGAACCCTCACAAAATCTCCTTAAAACCAAAATCACGACCTAATCTTCACCATCCTCACATCTCTCAACTTCAACCTTCAGGATTTTCTTCTTCTCTTGGTGTTCAACTTTCTGCGTCAATACTCCAAACAAACCTTCTGTAAACCATCCACATCCATTCTCTTTAAACTCCAAACAAACCTTCTTCAAAACAACCTTCACAGCAAAATGAAAATCTCCTCACTGATACAACATCAAAACCACACCACCCTTTCAATGCCTCTTAAACCACAAATCACAGATCACAGAAACTTGAACCAAAGCAGCTGGACCCCTAAACCCCTATCAGAAAACTCAACGCATTAACCTCAGAACAACAAACAACCCACCTAACACTTCTCCGATCTCCTTCATTTTCAATTCGAATCACCCGGACCTTCATCCCGTTTCACTAACAGAAAACCCAACAGAAAACCCAACATCTTCTACCTCCCACCATTCAAAACTACAACATAAACCAAACAAAATCTGGATCAGATTTAGAGTAAACCAAACCTGAACAAATTGAATCGGAGTAATAATGAAAGCGGAAACAGGAAGCAGAAAAGGAGTAGACGGAGAAAGTTGAGCGCGAACAAGACGGAAGCCACCATAAACAAACTGAAACCCATCCATCAACCTTAATCAACTCGCTCATCCTTCAAGCCTTCAACTCAACCTTCATCAAACGACATCATCTTCAAACAACACTCACCGCCGTAAAACCCCTTTCAATCCACCGCAGCTCATCATTTTCGAAACTCTGACCAACAGCTGGACATTCAGACGCTCAAACCACACACCACCTTCTCAACAGGAACCCCTCCGTTTTCCGTAACTTCCTCACTCAAATCGAACACCCATCCTCCATTCACCTTCTCCCATTTTCGTCACCTGCGTAAGCCATAGAACCCCCAAACCTTCAAATCCCTAATTCCTTCAAACCCCTTAACCATAATAATCCCTAAAATCACAAAATCAGGGATCAGAATCGAAACAGAGGAAAACATACAAATGTGACAAGAATCGCGATGCAAATGACATCACCGAAACTGATGCTAAATCAAGCAAGATGGATCTGGTTTTGAGTCGTGCAAGTGAAAGCGAGTTGGGAAGTTGGATCGATTCGTTTTCGGTTGATCGTGTTTGCTGAGAACTGTTTTTCGATTTTTGATCTTTGAGAGTTTAGTTTGAATACGAGGTCCACGTAATACTCCTCACATCCGTTTTAAATTTTCCCTTTTGTTTTCTTTTCTTTTTTTTAATTTATTTTATGAATATTAATTCTGGTTTTGTTGTATATATTATTATTATTATTATTATTATTATTATTATTATTATTATTATTATTATTATTATTATTATTATTATTATTATTATTATTATCATTATTATAATAGGTATATATGTTACTTTCTAAGTTTCATTTTATATTTATCTTTTTAAAGCTTTAAAATTATTTTATATTAGAGTTTTGAGATTATTTTTTCTTAGAAGTTAATTCTATTTCACGTTTGTTATTGGGCATTTTTCGCCGTTTTTGGTCGATGACGAGACCTCCGTAAACCGTTATTAAGTTAATTATTGATAAATGACGTTGGATCTGAGACCATTTCTTTCCAACGCTTTTTTTTCTCCTAAGACCTCGGTCCCGTACCGAGTGTGTCTTCGAAAACATTTTCAAATCAAATTCTTTGTATTGAATTAAAAAGAGGGGATTAAGTGTAGACTTTCTTCCTCTCCGAGTGTTGGGATGCCCACTGTAGTGAGGGTGGTTTCGACACTCGTCTTTCAATACGAAGACGCTTCCCATCCATTTTCAAATCTCATCTCCTTGAGATCATCTTTGTATTGAACTAAACGAGGGGATTAAGTGTAGACTTTCTTCCTCTCTGAGCGTTGGGATACCCACTGTAGTGAGGGCGGTTTCGACGCTCGTCTTTCAATACGAAGACGTTTCCATACCATCTCTCCTAAAACCTCAGTCTCGTACCGAGTCCATTTTCAAACCATAATAATTTGATTTCTCTTTGTATCGAATTAAAGAGAGAAGATTGGGTGTAGACTTTTTCTTCTCCGAGTGTTGGGATGCCCACTGTAGTGAGGGTGGTCTCGATACTCGTCTTTCGATACGAAGACGCAACTTTATCCGCCATTTCCTTTCACAACTTCCTTCCACAATTTTCACACCTAAAACCTCGGTCCTGTACCGAGTGCATTTTCAAATCTTTTCACAAAAACTTGAATGGTCGTGGAGTGGTTAGGCGTAGGCCTTCTCCTATCCCGAGTGCTGACGTTTACCGTAGGGTTCTCTGTCGCAAAAAGCATTTACCATTCAAAACCAAAAACACTTTAATAAGAGAATGAAGTTCTCTTTGTGTTGAACTAAAGAGAGAGGATTGAGTGTAGTCTTCTTCCTCTCCGAGTGTCAGGATACTCACTGTAGTGTGTGTGGTCTTGATACTCGTCTTTTAATACGAAGACGCTACGTTCGCTACACATTTTTTACAACAAAAACTTTGAGATAAAGAATTGGGTACTACCCGTAGGGGTTACTATCCGAGGACCTGTCTCGCCCCTAAAAACAATCCAATCAATCAAACGTGACTTCTTGCCTCGCGTGGCGAAAATTAATCAATCTTTCAAAAAGGATATGTTACGTCCGTTCTACCGCAAACAGGTAATGCCTAAGTCTACAACGAGTGAGCAGCAAAACACCTAACTGCTAGAATGCGCACGATAGCATCATCCGTAAAAACATCAACACACTGTTCGCACGAACTACGTTTGCTCTGATTTCTCATGCCAGATGAGAATACGTAGGCACAAGACGGCGATGTCTTGGCGAGCTCCCTTTTTCACCTTTCACCCATAGTTAGCCGAACTACGGCTGCTCTGATTTCTCATACCAGATGAGAATACGTAGGCACAAGACGGCGATGTCTTGGCGAGCATAATCCCCCCTATCTGTAGTTTCCCGAACTACGTCGACTCTGATTTTCTCATATTTGTTGAGAATACGTAGGCCTAGGACCGCGAAGTCCTACCGAGTCTGTTCTCTCCCTTCTTCCCCCCGTTACTTCTCTTTCCCCGTTTCTAAACCCTTCTTTCTATCCCTTGGAACACTCTCTTTATAGCATAATATTTAAGCAAATATAATCACACATCGACAAACAAAAGGTTCCCATCGAGTACGATGGATACGAGGGGTGCTAATACCTTCCCCTCGCATAACCGGCTTCCGAACCCGTTCTTGGTCGCGAGACCATCTTATCCATTTCTTTCTTAAGGTTTTCTCGATATTTTCCTTTCCCCTCATGGGATAAATAAAGTTCGGTGGCGACTCTTCTGTCCTATCTTTTTCGCCTCCCCGTCGTTGCGCGATGCATTTTTCGAGTAGCGACAGGGATCAATCACCAACCCTAGAGCAAGCTATTGGGATCAAGAACTTGGATTGAAATGGCTTCAATGGCTGTAACAGATTTTGATTTGCAATGTGCAAATTCAAAATGCAATCTCACTCTCCTCTCTCCATTCTCACCAACCTTGGCTCTGAATCACCTCATATGCTTATATAGGACATGAATGAATGATCTAGAAAGTTCTGGATAATCTAATGAGAAGTTCAATATCTCATCTCACTTGAAAATTCAATCTCATGCTATGCTCATAACAGCTCTTGCAGCAGCTTGCATTTGCCCTCATTCTCATCCAAATTCTCTCCACGTGAGATTTTGAGTGTGTTTGAATGTGTTGGAACCATGGATTTGATCTTATGTGTAGTTTGGCATATTGTCATACCCCAAATTTGTCCTACCTTTTTTCAAAAATTCTCATTTGCCCGACTTTATTTTTAATTTACCTCGCTTATACAACGTAGCGTATTTTTCAACAAAACAAGCATTTTCGCTTTTTAGCCCAATAAGAGTATGCCACGTGGCATTTTTACTTATTAAGCGTTTTGTTTTTATTTTAAATAATGTGATATATTTGTAATATTAATTAAAATTAGAATAGGTTTTTTTTAATTAGAAATAGGATTAGACTTTTTTTATTTATTTTTATTAATTAAATTAGAATTTCATTTAAAAAAATATAAGTAGTTTTGTTATTTTTATTAATTGATTAAATTAGAGATTTAAATAGTTAATTTTGAATTATTGATAGTTTTTTATTTATTTATTAAAAATCCATTTAGAATTATATTAATTAGTTAATTATAAAAGAAAAAGAAGAAATAGTAATAATAAAAATTGAAAGAGATTGAAAACACGGTAGCAATTGGCAATTAGGGTTTAGAATTAGTATAAAATAGGGCATTTCACTGTTCACAAAAAAAAAAAACATTGTTCATTGGATCCCAAAGTTTGGAGGGCAGACCTAGCCGCCGAACCCTTCATCATAATCCCCAATTCACTCCAAAACTTATCCGCCGCCACCCCCAATCTGAAGAAACCCTAAAACCTCTCTCCGCCACACAGAATTTCCACAGCGCGTGTCCGCCGGCGAGAGAGAACAAGATGAAAACCATTCTCTCCTCCGAAACGATGGACATCCCCGAAGGGGTTAGCATCAAGGTGCACGCGAAACTCATCGAGGTTGAAGGTCCACGTGGGAAACTGGTTCGTGATTTCAAGCATTTGAATCTCGACTTTCAGCTCATTACTGATGAAAATGGGAAGAGGAAGTTGAAGGTTGAAGCTTGGTTTGGATCTAGGAAAACCTCGGCTGCTATTCGCACTGCTCTTAGTCATGTGGATAATTTGGTCACTGGTGTTACTAAGGGGTATCGTTACAAGATGCGATTTGTGTATGCTCATTTTCCGATTAATGCCAGTATCGCTAACAGTAATACTACTATCGAGATTCGTAACTTCCTCGGCGAAAAGAAGGTGAGGAAAGTGGATCTCCTTGAAGGAGTTACTGTTGTTCGATCTGAAAAGGTCAAGGATGAGTTGGTTTGGATGGAAATGACATTGAACTTGTTTCCAGATCTTGTGCACTTATTAACCAGAAATGCCATGTTAAGAAGAAAGATATCTGTAAGTTCCTTGATGGTATCTATGTTAGTGAGAAAGGGACAACAAGCTATGGCGAACCATGGTCAACAATGATGTCCATCTCAAGACAGAATGATGACACAAACTGTATGATGCCACCATTTGCGACATTTCCAGCGGCAATGATAGCTCAACGTAGCAACAGCTCAGGTTCGCAACAAAACTTGGCATCAGTTGTGAGTTTAAGGCTTATCCTGGTCTTGCCCACTCCATAAACAATGAGGAGCTGCGGGATCTCGAATCTTGGATTAAGGCACGCCCACAAGGTTTATGTGTTGCGGAAGCAATTGTAAAGCTGAGCTAGTTCCGACTGCACTATCATCTCGTCGAATGGTCGTATGCTTGTAGCTAGAAGCACGAGTATTCAAGAGTTGAGTCGAATACAAAGTTACACCAGTTCAACAACTCTTCAACTCAACAACTCCGGCAACGACTCCGTAAGCTATTAAGATCATCCAAACAGATAGCCTGCATGCTCCTGTTGCCGTTGCTGCTTTTTGAGGTCAATTTGGATCGATTGCGTGTCGGTAATTCTCGAACTACTATGTTTTTTAGGCTAACTCTGCTTTGTTATGCAAATGGCACAGAGGTGGTTGCCGGTGCATTTATGTTCACATCCATATTTGGTTTGAGTTTGATTTCAATCATGTTATGGAAACTTCACATAGGGATGTTGTTGCTCTAATTTTGTTGCTGGTTCTAAAAACTCACAAATTCCATGTTTATATCCTTCCATGTTTATATCCTGTGAGTAATAAATTGTTGTGCTGTGATATTGAGTTATGGTTCTGTTAGGACATGAAGTCAGCCGCACATGATTAAGAACGACCAGTTTGGTTTCTGTTTCTGCATGATGGTTTTTATAGCGTAGCATTTTCGAGTTATTTGTTATATAGCGACTGATATCATATTTCATAAATGTTGTTTTTTTTGTTGCACTAACCCTTGGCAGTGTGCATATGCGGATATCACTAAGGTTATGTATACGCGACTCGTGATAGTGCTTACGGCATTACGCAAAATAAATAAATTATGGATTATGCTATGCATCTGTGGGTAAAGTTATGTGGCTATCCTACCGCCGTGATTAATTTGTCAATACTGGTCCGAAGTTGGGTATTTTTTTTTCATGTCATATTTTGTGTGTATGGTTTCAATTAATTGCTAGCGGCACCACAAACACCGGAGCCGTTTTCTTTTTTGTTTTTCTTTGATGTATGCAGGTTATAGATTCGAGATTCGGAAGTTAAAACCGACTCGGTTCATGTCAACAACATACCACGACAACAACATCTAACGACGATGAATCTTCTCGCGGAAGGCTTTCGCGATTCACGACTTCAAAACTGCAACGAAGTTGCAGTGAACTCAAGCGACGATGATAGTTACGGTAATGATTCACAACTGCAGTAACAACAATCTCTTGTTTTTTTTTCATCTGCGGATTCAATAAAAGCGGATACGTTGATGTTTAGTTGAATCGATTTCGATTGTTTCTGTTATAACCATACATCCAACCTGCAGAGTGTTGATGTTTCCGTTGGTTTGTTTTGGTTTTGATATAAATTTCCATATGCTGCTGTTAAATTGCAAACCTTGTTTAGAATGGTTGATATTCTGTTGTGCTCAGTTCGAGTAAATTTGGGTGTATCGCAATACTGCTGCTTCAATATTTCGTGGTAAATTCGAGGCGAATTTTGCTATTTTGTTAATTATACTCGCCTTAGTTTCTGTGGTTATTTTTGGATTGTCGGTTTGTCTTTTACTTTGAATATATTGATTAGGAGATTTTTCAAACAATGAAAATATTTTTTCTGGTTTTTGAGTCGAAACCCCGCTACTGCTGTTGTTATGTTCTAAAGCTGTCAAAATTACGATAACTTGTTGAAACGAAATGTCGGTTGCCTTAAACTTGTTGCTGTTGATTTTGTTCCTACTGATGCGTATACGGTTCATGTACGACTCTTAGATTTCAAAGATAATCCTGTTTTCTACAATACCGTTCATATGTGAACTTGTTGCCGCTGCTGTTTGGGCCAAATGATAAACAATATTTCTAGATTTAATTTAAATTGAGTTATCATTCATATTTCGGGTTTAGTTTAATAAAGGATTTGGTCTGATTATGCTTTGTTTGTATATGTGGAGTTTGCTTGCTTCAAATCATGATAATTGATAATTGATTCTATGAGTAAGTGTGTATAGTTACTTTTTATGATAATTGATTCGAACATACTTGCAGAAAGATAATATAGTTTTGTTTAATTCTAAGTCAAATAATTAGTTTAATAATAATTATTTAAGTAATTTTGAATTATTGAATGTTTGTTTTACTTATTTTATTCGTTTATTACAAGATTAGTCGAACAATAACCATGTTAATTAAGTAAGTAGAATGGATACTCTTTAACGATAAGTTCAGGTTCTTTTAACCTCGATTAAATTTTCTTATCCCAATTCAATTTATTCTCCAACATTTAAATTTATTAACCTTAATTAGTTAATTAATTAATTTCTTTATATAAGACAATTTAAAATTGTTTTCTTAAAACAAGAGTAGTGGATTCTTAGAGTCTAGCACTCCTTGGATCCTTGAACAACTATTCTCGAGGCGCACGCCTTTGAGTTACGGTCGTTCCCTTTTTTCGATTTTCAAAAATGTTCACTCAATTCAATTAAAGCTTCCAAAAGATATTTTTAAGTTAATTTTATTAATTAGATATTTTTATAATAAGGTCCAATTATTATTCTTTTAAAAGATATATATTTCAAAATTATTATCAAATAATATTTTGAATATTAGAAAATTATATTTCATTAAGTTAAAATCTTCTTTAAGATATTAAACCTTTTCTCAAAAACAATTAATTATAACTAGCTTTTTTCAAAACCTTTTTATAATTGATTAATTTTATATATGAAAATTAAACTATCTTCCTAAAACAATTTCAAAACAATTGAATTCTTGGATCTCGCCTTCCTTGAATTTTCGAGGGACTACTCTTGAGGCGTACGCCTTGAGTTGTGGTCGTTTCGTCATTTATTTTTAATGCTCAATTCTTTTCGAAACTTTTAAATAATTTTTTAAAATAAATTCTCGATTAGTTAAATTATCTTCTACCTTCGATCACCATACACAATATTTTAAAGCTTAATCCTGGGCTTCCTTACAGTGACACCTATTTGATCAATTATTTCTAGTTGGTCACTTAGAAGACTAGCCCACTTTGCTAGTACACACGTTTAAAACTCGAATTCAAACCTCAACTCCTTTCAAGCCATATTTCAAACATCAAAGAGGAACTAAAGCCTGCACGCAATTTCAAGGGTCAACGGAACCACTCCGTTCGGTAACTTTTCTTACTTTCAATCTTACATTTCTTAAATACCTAGCGCGCCTAGTCCGAGTACGCTAATCCATTCAAATTATTTTTCTAAATTAAATCACGAAAGAATCGAGTTCTTGGAGTCGCGCATTCCTTGAATTCGAGTATGATCACTATTGAGGCGTACGCCTTGTATGGTGTGCCATTCAAACTTTCGTTCTTAAAATACCTCCTCCAATTATTTGGATAAGTATTCACTGTCCAACAAATATATTTCATAATTAATGGAATGAAAAAGATGTCGTTAGGATCTAGCACCTCAACGATATCCCGATTACTTGGTTACGAGGCCGACGTCTCGCTTATCGAGTATTCGTCATTCCTCCTAAATTTTCAACCCGTCTAACCTCATTCCTCATCCTCGTGCGGTCGAGTCTAAACTCTAGTATGTCTCTAAACCATACGTCAAATTCAAACCATTTTCTTAATTAAATTGCGAAAGAACTGAGTTCTTGGAGTCTCGCACTCCTTGAATTTTTTGAGTAACCACTCTTAGGGCGTACGCTTTAGGTTGTGGTTCGCTCAACCTTTCGTATATAAAATACGTGCCCTAACTACTTGGACCAATGTCATTATTGTCCATTCAAATACATTTTCATAATTAATTGAATGAAAAAGGTATCATTGGGATCTAGCATTCCAATGATATCCAGATTAATCGATTGCGAGACTGGCGTCTCGTTTATCGAGTAGTCGTCATTCTCCCTTAAAATATTTAACCCAACTCTCTTCTCTCGCCCCGCGCGATTGAACTTTCTCAAACATATTTCGTAATTATTCGAATGAAAATGTGTTATTGGGATCCAGCATTCCAATAATATCTCGATTAATTGATTGCGAGGCCGACGTCTCGTTTATCGAATAGTCGTCATTCTCCATCAAATTGCCTAACCAAACTCCTCTTCCTCGCCCCCGTGCGATCGAAACCTTAAACCTATTCAAATATATCCTCTAACCAAAACATCCAATGCGATAAACACAAATTTCTCGCCCTCGTGCGATTTCCAACCAAAACACCTTTTGCTAAGAACATTGTTTATTCCCTTCTTCCGCGCATAACAAACTCGTGCTTCAGCCTCCCCTAGCGAGCAGACAAGCCCATGTTTAGCAGTTAGAATGCGACCTAAACACTCGTTCATTCCAAACACAACCCTTTTACCGTAGTTAGCCGAACTACGACTGCTCTGATTTCTCATTTATTAATGAGAATACGTAGGCATAGAATTGCGATGATCCTAGCGAGCACTTTTCCACTTTTCTTTCTTTACCACCTTTAGGTTCCCATACCTTTTACCAAAGAACATTGTTTAGTCCTTTCTTCCGCGCATATGAACTTGTGCTTCAGCCTCCCCTAGCGAGCAGACAAGCCAATGTTTAGCAGTTAGAATGGGACCTAAACTCTCGTTCAACTCATACCTACCTTTTACCAAAGAGCATTGTTTAGTCCTTTCTTCCGCGCATATGAACTCGTGCTTCAGCCTCCCCTAGCAAGCAGACAAGCCCACGTTTAGCAGTTAGAATGCGACCTAAACACCCGTTCAGTTTCAAACCCTTTTACCGTAGTTAGCCGAACTACGGCTGCTCTGATTCTTCATTCACTTCTGAATGTAAGATACGTAGGCACAAGATTGCGACGATCTTGGCGAGCACAATTCCCTCCTTTTCCCG